TCTCTAATCTTCAGTTTCATTTTAAAAGCAGACATCTTAAATTTGATGCACATAAAGTACCTAGCACATGGATCACCCAGTAAATGGTAGTTACCATAAGTTGAATAGATTTTTTATATATATATATATATATATATATATATATAATTCTTACATCATTTTTCATTTTTGTACAATGTATGCATTTTCATTTTGGTTATATTCCCCATACAATTGCACCCCCCTTTATTCTGACCCCAATCCTTCCTCTCCCCTTCCACCCCCCACCCCCAATAGTGTGTCTCTGGTTTAGAGTTGCTTGTTGATTTTGATTTTCACTTTGTATTGATTAGTCTTTTTCCTGGTCCCTTATTTAGGTTTTCTAAATTCCTGCTATGAGTGAGACCATCAGGTATTTTTCTTTTTCTTTCTGGCTTATTTCACTGAGCATGATCCCTTCCGGCTCCATCCATGTTGCAGCAAACTGCATGTGTTTATCTTTTCTGAATGCTGAGTAATAGTCCATTGTTTATATGTACCACATCGTCTTGATCCAGTCATCTATTTTTGGGCATTTGGGTTGTTTCAATAGCTTAGCTATTGTAAATAGTGCTGCTATAAACATAGGGGTGCAGGTGCCCTTTGGAATTACTGTTTCTGTGTCATTTGGGTAAATACCTAGGAGTGGAATTGCTGGATCAAATGGAAGCTCTGTTTTTAGTAGGTTGAGGACTTTCCACACAGTTCTCCATAGTGGTTGGACCAGTTTGCACTCCCACCAGCAGTGCAGGAGAGTTCCTTTTTCTCCACACCCTCGCCAACATTTGTTGTTGCTAGTTTTTTTAATATGTGCCAATCTCACTGGTATAAGATGGCATCTCACTGTAGTTTTGATTTGCATTTCCCTGATTACAAGTGATGTTGAACATTTTTTCATATGCCTGTTGGCCATTTGCATTTCCTTTTTGGAGAAGTTTCTTTTAGCTCTTCTGCCCATTTTTTGACTGGATTATTTTCTTTGTTTTTGTTGAGTCTCATCAGCTCTTTGTAGATTTTTGTGATCAGACCTTTATCATTAGTGTTGGGTGCAAAAATTTTCTCCCAGTTGGTGGGGTTTCTCTTTGTTTTGGTTATTGTCTCTTTTGCTGTGCAGAAGCTCTTTAATTTGATGTAGTCCCAGTTGTTGATTTTTGCCTTCACTATCACTGCTTTAGGTGATGTGTCTGTAAAGATGTTTTTGAGGTGCATGTCATCTAGTGTTTCACCTATATTTCCTTCTATGTATTTTATGGTTTCAGGTCTTATGTCTGTTCTTTAATCTATTTTGAGTTGGTTTTTGTGCATGGTATGAAGTAGCAGTCAGGCTTCATTCTTCTGCATATAGCGACCCAGTTTTCCCAGCACCATTTATTGAACAAACTTTCTTTGCTCCAGTGCATATTCTTTGCTCCTTTGTCAAAGATTAGTTGACCATAAATCTGTGGGTTTATTTCTAGATTTTCTATTCAGTTCCATTGGTCCGTGTGTCTGTTCTTGTTCTAATACCATGCAGTTTTGATGATTATGGCTTTGTAGTATAGTTTGAAGTTTGGGAGTGTGGTGCCTCCATTCCCTTTTTTTTCAGGAGAGCTTTGTCTCTTTGGGGTTTTTGGTGATTCCATATGAATTTCATCAATAATTGTTCTATTTCTTTGAAGAATGTCATTGAAATTTTGATTGGAATAGCATTGAATCTGTAAATTGTTTTTGGTAGGATGGCCATTTTGATAATGTTAATTCTTCCAATCCATGAGCAGGGGATGTCTTTGTGTCTTCTTCTATTTCTTTGAACAGTGTTTATTCCTAAGTATTTGATTTTTTTTGTTTCAATAATAAAAGGGATGGGTTTTTTTTTTATTTCTTCTTCTTCAGATTTATTGTTTGTGTATAGAAAAGCTACTAATTTTTGCGTGTTGTTTTTATATCCTGCCACTTTATTAAGCTGATTGATTAGTTTGATTAGTTTTTCTGTGGAGTTCTTGGAGTTCTCTGTGTATGTTATCATCTGCGAATAGTGATAATTTTACTTCTTCCTTCCCTATTTGGATTCTTGTCCTTCTCTTGTCTTATTGCTCTGGCTAGGAATTCCAGTATCACATTGAAAAACAGTGGTGAGAGTGGACATCCGTGTCTTGTTCCAGATCTTAATGAAAATGCTTTCAGCTTTTCACTATTGAGAATGATACTGGCTATGGGCTTGTCATATATGGCCTTTATGATGTTGAGGTATGTTCCTTGTATCCCAAGAATTTCAAGGGCCTTTATCATAAATCATAAAGCTTTGTCGAAAGCTTTTTCAGCATCTATTGATATTATCATATGGTTTTTATATATTTCTTTTTGTTGTTGTGTTGGGTAACATTGATTGATTTTTGGATGTTGAACCATCCTTGTGTCCCTGGAATAAATCCTACTTGTTGTGGTGCCATAAGTTGAATAGATCTTAATTCTCTCTTTGGTCCTAAGGTAGAAAAGTGAGTCAGGACTCTGCTGGAAAACAGCATGAGCAAAAGTACACAAAGTCAAACTGCAGGGTGCACCAGGGCATAGGCACAGTTGATGTTGCAGAGGGAAAAGTACAAAACCGAGTATGGCTAGAGAAGGGCTGGAAAGATAATTCTAGAGTTGGGAAAGGAAGACCTTACGTACCATGCTTAAGAACTTACACTTTGTCCTTTGTGCAGTGAAGAACCAAAGATTTTTTTTTAAATTGATAAGGTTGTATTTATGATTTAGACACTCCTGGCAGGTATATAAAAGGTAGTTTAGAGTTGACCAAGCAGCAAGGAGGAATCTAGACAAAGAGATGATGAGTTCCCAGTTTTGGGTGTGGCAGAGGAATGAGAAAGATGAACAAGTCTGAGAAATATTTAAGAGGTAGGTCTTTATTCATCAGGGACAGGAAGCAGTTGGTGATGACTTCTAGATTACTGGTTTGCTAAGTGGGTTGATGATGGTGCCAGTAATTGAGAGGAAATAGGAAGATGAGAAAGTTTGGGAGGAGAAAGATAATGGAATCAGTGTTCAACATGTTGATTGTGTAAGGTCTGCAAGGATGAGAACGTTGTACTGTCTTTCCATTGGGACAATGCATTTTTCCTTTTACAGTTCATTAAGGACAAGAGTTATTAAGTCTCTGAAGAAAAAGCAATAACAGGGTCAAATATAGCTGAATGGTCCAAGAAGATTGAGGCTATTTGACACTTTGAAAGCAGTTGTAGTAGAGAAAAGAAAGCCAGACTGTGGTGGGTTGAAAAGTGAGGGGGAATTAAAAAAGTGGAGCAAGCTGAGGTACTTATCTCATAAGTAAGGAGAGAGAGGATGGTGGTTTGGGGACCATTTCTCTTCGGCTTTATTGTTTGATACAGCTATGGTTCATTTTTCAGCTGCCCCAGCTAGTCACCTGCTCTCACACTAGGGAGGCAGTAGAGTTAAAGAACAGACAGGCCCCATTTCCACCCTCATTTCTAATACCAATTCAAATTGGGGCCCCCGAGATGATCCTCAGATTCAGTAATTCCCAAAGACTCACAGAACTCACTGAAAGCTGCTATGCCCATGGTTTTTGGTTTATTTTAGTAAAAGGACTCAAAATCAGCCAAGGGAAGAAACACATGTGGCAGAGTGCAAAGGGTTCCAAATGCAGTTTCCTGTTGTCCTCTCCCAGGGGAGTCACATGCACAGCGGTATTCTTTCTGGAAGCTGGACATGGCAATAAGCACAGAGTATTACCTACCATGGAAACTCACTCAATTCATGATATCTGTACTTTTTATTGGGGCTCTATAACAACGGTACTGTTGACTACCCCATGATTAGCCTCAGTCCGGGCCCTCTAGAGGTTATACTGATAACATGTGAGCCAAAATCCCATGATAAATCACATTGTTAGATTATCTCATTTTATCCAAAACCCCAGATAAGAGGAAGGACATTCCAAAGGCTTGGAGATTAACTTCCAGGAGCCAAGGGCAAAGACCAGTCTTCTTTGGGTAATATTAAGTTCTTTACTGCACAAAGGCCATTATTTTTAAACTTAGGATAGTACCCAATCTCATAAAGCAATTGTGAAGATTGAATAAGAATTATCTTGTGTCCATGGGTTTTCTGAGGCTATATATAGCTAGTGATGGTAGAACTAAGGTTCTGTGTGAAGACTTCAAATCTGATAGTTTTTTTGTGGTATGTTTGTATCATTTAAAACTGCATATAAAAAGTATCCATTCTGTTTGACATTTAAATTATTGATGGCATTCAGTAGGGTACTGGAGGCTGCCACTACAGTCATATTACAGAGAAATTGAGGAGTAAGAAGGAAGGTGAAAAAATGGAAACAGTTAAGTATTTGAAGTATTAGATAACTGTTCTAAAAATCGTCAAGGAAGAGGGTTCAGAAAGAGGGTATAGTTAGAAGGAATACAAGCTTAGGTTTTGATGACTTTTTTTTTTTTAAGATAAAAGCCTTCTGAACATGTGCCATACAATGATTTTGTTAGTCTTTGCATATGTTACCTGTGTAATTCTCACTTGCATTGAAATAGATAATTGAGTTTTGCTAGTGAAAAAAAAAAAAAAGGTTCAAAGAGGTTATGCAATACAAGTACTAAATAGGGATAAAAACAGTACCTACTGTGTAGAATTGTGAGGATTAAATGGGACAGTCCTTCGAAAATAAGATGTCGGAGCCCTTGTTACATATTTTAAAATTAATCCCATTTAATAAAAGTGGGTATCATGAAATTTGAGGGAAAGCTACATAATAGTTTCTATTATTTTTAAATTTTTTTCAAAACTGATTTTTTCTAGCCATTTAATTTTCACATTGAAAATAAAATTTGAATATGTATTTATTCCCACCAAATGAAGTAATTATTCTACATTAAGATATTTTTACTCACTAAGTTTTGGTGTCATGTGCTCTCTTTTTGCTTTCTGTTTTATGCATTATTTTTAATTTTATGTTTCTTTCTTTTTAACTCCAGAATTAAATAGCCACCATGTCGAGCAAAAAAGCAAAGACCAAGACCACCAAGAAGCGCCCCCAGCGCGCTACATCTAATGTATTTGCCATGTTTGACCAGTCACAGATTCAGGAATTCAAAGAGGCCTTCAACATGATTGATCAGAACAGAGATGGTTTCATTGACAAGGAAGATTTGCATGACATGCTTGCTTCTCTAGGTAGACTTCTTTTTTTTTTATATATATATATACATTTAAAATATAATTGCATGGCTTCAAAAACATTTGGAGAATCAAGGAGCTCTCCACATTCTGAGTAATATCAAGATATAAAGCAATTTATTCCTAAGCTCTTGCTGGAGAATAGAAATTATAATGGTGTTCCCTTTCATGCCTTGACCTTTTGAAATTTGTTTTTGTTGTTTCAGTTTTTTTCCCCAATGCCTTTGACCTGTATATCCTCTTTGACCCTTTTTTCCTTCCCCTTCTTGAAATCCTAACTTTAGAAACTATATTTATAAGTATTTTACTTGGTTGAATCATTTACTTTGTAATGTATACTTGTCTTAGTCATTTTGATGTACCTTACTACACATAATTCCCTTGAACTTCCATTTTGCTGTAAATGGCAACATTCCATCTTTCCTTATGGCTAACTAGTATTCTATAGTGCATATATACTACATCTTGATCCAGTCATCTATTGATGGGCATTTAGGTTGCTTTCAGTTTCTAGCTATGTAAATAATGCTGCAGTAAACCTTGTAGAGCATATAGTTTTTTGAGTTGATGGTCTCACATTCTTTGGATAGCTACTCAAGAGTGGAATTGCTGGGTCATGCAGTATTTCCATTTTTTTAGCTTTTTAAGGTAAATCCATATGGTGTTTCAGTTTACATTCCCACCAACAGTGTAAAAGGATTCCCCTATCTCCACACCTTTCTAGCACTTGTAGATTTTTTTTTTTAAATATGTGCCATTGTCATGGAAGCAAAGCTTTTTAATTTTCAGGAATCACAATTGCTTATATTTGCTTTACTTCCCTTACTGTAGGGTTTGAGACTCCAAAAACATACTTATTGTTGATGTCATTGGACATATTGCCAATGTTTTCTTCTATTTATTTTTTTGTTGCAGATCTTGTATCTAAATCTTTTAATTCATTTGTAATTTATTTTTGTGCTTGGAATTAAAGAATGATCCAATTTCATTCTTTTATGTGTGACTTTCTGGTTTTCCTAGTACCATTTCCTGCTACCTAGTATGAGGCTCTTTTTTCCTCTTTGGTATGGTCATGACTGCTTTATCATAAAGTACATGTTGGTATATACATATATGTGGATTTATTTGAGCTTTCAGTTCTGTTCCATTGATTCTTGTGTCTGTTTTCATGCCAATATCATTGTTTTTGTTTGTTTGCTTTTTTAAGAAATTTTATATGTAACTAACTGCACAGATGTTTAACCATCAGCTGAATTACCATCTCCTGTGTGCTTCGTGACTAGCATGTTCTATGGTAACTAGTTACGAATAAATGATGGATAGATTTTATTTTTTTATGAACCAAAGGAATACTGCTTTTCTTAAATATATTTACCATCCACTTAGAGCATTTCATACACTATGAACAATTACTGAAGAAACTCTCTTGTGAAGATTTAAATTATAATTGTAGTATCAAGAAATTAAAACATAAAGTACTATGTTCTTTACTAGTCCCATTCAGCCAGGGGAAATAATTCAAAGGTGAATGCTACTAACAAAACTAACTTCCAAAAATCAACCAAGTGCAGGCATTGTGTGCAAAAACTTAAACTATACTACATGGTAAATGTTTTCATTGAAAAAAACTATGAAGCTTTAAGAGAGACATTTTTATATGTAATATAAATCAGCACAGGTTAGCAAAATTGCCTTTCTTCAATTGAAATTGTGTGGTTTGATTTCTGTCTTTAGAACCAGTGCTCAAAGGAAATTGTATATGAATATGTTTTGTTGCCTTGGAATTAATAAAGTTTTCTGAAGGTTAAAAAGGACCATGCAGAGAATAAACCACAAAAAAAAAAAAAAAAAAAAGGAACCGGGGTGTGAGAGGATTCACCACCAGAGACGGAGTTGGGAACAGAATAGGCGGATTGACTGAAATACACTGCTGAGGGGAGCAGCGGGCAAATCAGGAGAGGTCTTCTGTGCCATGTAGGTCACCTACCTGGCCAGGGATTGAACTTGTGATGCAGTGGCTGCAAATCGCTGCATAGTGCTGTGTCTTAACCCCTTGTGCCACCAGGGAGGCCCTGCCATATTGTTTTAATTACTGTTTCTTTGTAGCATAGTTTAAAGTCAGGACTTGTAATGCCTTCATTTCCTTATTTCTCAGGATTGCTTTTGCTATTTGAAGGTTTTTATAATTTTTTATAAGTTTCATATTTATATATTAAATATATTAAGCCATTCTTGTATTCCTGGAGTAAATTCTACTTGATTGTGATATATAATCCTTGTAATATTGAATTCAGTTTTTTTTATATATTCTTTATATACTTACTCCCCAAAATAAAAATTCAGCACTCTATGAATCTTTTTTTATGTGATAGACAAATATATAAATACATATAGACAAATATACAAATATACCTCTTCTTGTCTCAGAGGTCTGTTGAGAGCTATCTGGTTGGGAAGTATCATATTAGAGATTGACCAGCTATAAGAGGATAAACCTGCAGGAGTGGGGACCTGGCAGATACTGTGGCCAAGCAGGCATCTTTTGCCATTAGCTAAATAGTACACTTTTGTTAGGTGAAAAGCCAGGGGATAGCAGGCAGTTCGATTTTCAAATAAAAAGCATAACTAATAGTATAGTAAATAATAAAGATTGAGAATAGATTATTAATAGGACTAATAATAATGATTGTCTCCGGGGGAATAAATGCAGTGCTACTAGAAATATGAACAAGGATATTCACAATTTGATTTATACTTTTTTTTGTAACTAAAGAAAACAAAATAGATATCAGATTTAAAGCAAGAAATCTGCTCTTTGTGGTTTTGGTTAGATGAGTATTCATTTATTATTTATTGTCTGGATTTATTCTTGTTTATTTTGATCTAAAAAGAAGGAAAGGAAGTTAGGTACTCCATGTTCCGTCCCCATGTTGTCCCCCATCTGAACACTGATTTTACACTTGGGAAGAAAGGAATGGCTAGTATTTGAATTCTAGATAGGCCAAAGTGACTGGTCTGGCAAAGGGGCTTTAGGCAGGGAGACGCCTGCAGTTAGGCTCTGTATTCTGGAGTGTTCTTGTGCTTGATTGTTAGCCAGAAAGGGCAGTTCAAGGGCCAGAGAATTAAGAGAAAGGACTTTTTTCTCCCTTTTAGTAACCACAACCGGCTAGCTTTTATTCCTTTATCTTTTTTGTTCTTTGAATATATTATTTTGCAATTTTTGCAACTAAATAAGGTTGAAAGAACTGTGTAAGGAGAGCAGGTACATCCTTTACCCAGATTCATCAATTTTTAACATTTTGCCATATTTCTTTTATTGGAGTGAGAGTTGTTTCAAGATACTAATCTAATTTGTTGACTTGCAAGTAGAATGCGTCCTTTTGTTTTTCACACTCAGAATAAGCTAAGTGAACCCTTTTGGGCAAGTCACTACTGAAGAAAGCCACTGAGGAAAATTGAGGGATTTAGTTGTATTCCAAAGATTGAGCCCTCAAAACTGTATCCTGCCCAAGTAAATTTTTGTTAGATGTATGAATGATGGTAGACTAAGATAACGACTTTGCATCTTCCTTTTTGGGGAATAATTATATTGGATGCCTGTATTGGAGTGGGCATCCAATATAGGGCATAGCTTAAACCAGTTCACTGTACATCTGTGTGCTTTGTGTACCCATGTTCTCTTGGCACCTTTGGGCTACTCTTTTGGGTTTTAAAATTTGCTGCAAGAGAGAGGTGTTAAAAATGAAGAAGAAATTCGATCTTGGGCCTCCCCGGTGGCACAGCGGAGCGCTGGGTTGCGAAGCTGCCCGCGGCCTCTGCAGCACCGGTTTGATCCCTGGCTGCTCCCCGGCCACCGAAGGAGGGTCCCACATGGCGCGCAGACCTCGCCTGCCGCCCGCTGCTCCCCTCAGCAGTGTACTTCGGTCCTTCTGCCTGCTCTGCTCCCCGCTCTGGCTCTGGTGAATTCTCTCACCCTTCCGCGCTTCTGACTGTACCCAGTGCATGTATAAACAAAACAAACAAACAAATAAATAAATAAATAAAACATGCCTCTATTAAAAAAAAAAAATTCGATCTTTTAGCTATTTTCACTTATTCCATGATTTTTGAAAGTTTTTTAGATTAACTTTTGTATTGTTAATGTTGAGTTGGTATAGTGACGAGTGTAATGCAATAAGACATACCAGCTTGGCATTTACATTTTACCTAAATTCCCAGAATTAAAAGTTACATATGAACCATAATTCTAGATTTGGCTATCATTAGCACTGGGTTGACTGTAATATTGAGATGTTCTCTTAGATACGGCTATTTAACTTATACATGTTCTTTTCATGTAGAATCATACAAGGTTAATGTTGAAGGGGTTCAACCAGTTCAATTTACTGATCATGAAAGAAAACCCGGGATAGTGGCCACATTCCCCCAAGTCACACAACAAATGGCAGAACTGGATCCCACTGCAGCCCACTGATCCAGACCCTTTCTTCAATGATGCTTTCCCCACATACAGGGCCTCAAAAATGCTTGGACGGGGAGGAGCTGTTTATTAACTCCCAACATGTGTGGTCTCTCCGTGGGGATTTCTTCCAACTTCAAGGGAAGGAGCAAGTGAGGGTGTTCCCTTACCACCATATTAGAAGAGAGAGAAGTGTTTCAGTTGAAACTAGGTTAAGATTTCCTATTACAAACAATACTAAACAAGACTACATTTCAGTGACACAAACACGTAAACAGTGTTTAGGGTTATATTTGGCAGCTGAATAGTTCATGACATTGTTCAAAAGGAGCTACAAATCTAATCTAACTTGATAGTTTTAAATGACCAACTTATAAATGAAAAACTTAAAGCATACCAATTCCTAAGCAATTGTACTACAATTGAAAATATAAATATTTAGATATTTTGAATAACTGGCATTAAAATTATCTCCATTGGACCTTTAATGTTATCACTATTTTAAGATGTAATAATGTGGTATTACCTAGTACTTAGTTTCAAGTATTTGTTTTGTTTTAATTAAAAATTGTGAAGGAAAAGTTGCATAAAGTTATCTGTGAATGAACAATATTCAAATCAGCCCCAAATGCATTTTTGTAATATATCAGATTTTCTAAATTGTCAAAAGTTGTGATTTTTAAATGTTCTTAAAGTAAGTTAAATGAAAAATTAATTTCAGATCCTCCCTGGTGGCCTATGGGTTATAATAACCCGTAGAAGCAATAACAAAATAATTGCTTCTTAAAATTCTTTGTCCTTGGGCCTTCCCTGATGGCACAGGTGTTGAGCGCCGCGCTGTGAAGCTGTACGCAGCCTCTGCAGCGCTGGTTGGATCCCGGCTGGCCGAGAGGGTCCCACATGGCGAAGCAGACCTCTCCTGTCTCGCCTGCTGCTCCTTTCAGCAGTGTATTTCATCAGTCTGCCTGTTCTGTTCCCCTCTCTGTCTCTGGTGAATCCTCTCACCCTCCTGTGCATCTGGCCTGTACCCCAGTTCTTGTATAAATAAATCTTTAAAAAAAAAAATTCTTTGTCCTTAAATGTTAAAATATGAAATCTTACAGGGAAGAATCCAACAGATGCATACCTTGATGCCATGATGAATGAGGCTCCAGGGCCCATAAATTTCACCATGTTCCTCACGATGTTTGGTGAGAAGTTAAATGGCACAGATCCAGAAGATGTGATCAGAAATGCTTTTGCTTGCTTTGATGAAGAAGCTACTGGTAAGTGCCCTATCTTCAACCTCATTCCATAGCTTTGTAAAAATACTTTTTAGGAAATGAAAACATGGTAAAATATAAATTTTTAAAAAAGGGATAATGGGAAACTATTATTTACAACAGGACAGTGTAACAAAATAGCTAGGACACAGGTATGTGGGTCATAAAGTTTGTGCTGTTAATATTTGAATTTAGTTCCGAGCTCCCTGAAGGCCAAAGGGGGAATTGTCCCTTAAATAGCATTTCTTAGATATTAAAAACTGCTTTTTCAAGAAATGTTTAATCTCACCAAAAAGGATAGATAATATCAACATTGACAATCCTAGTTTTTTCTCATTTTAAAATGTGTAAAGTCTAACTAGTCACTTTTCTTACTTTTTTCCTTTTCTATCAGCCCTCAACTGAGATGCCCACACCACTCCTCAGATATACCTTGCACCCTCCTGTCCCCATCTCTACCTTTAAAATATACCATTCTTCTTGCACAATTGCTCTTGACAACACTACCCTTTTTTGAGTGGGCTGCTTCCCATTCCCTTAAAAATGTCTGAAATTCAGGGTTTTTTTTCTTCCTATGGAAAACGCTTGTGTCAGATTAATTTTGCAAGCATACAATTTATTTATTTATTTATTTTAAAGATTTATTTATTTATGCATACAAGAACTGGAGTGTAAGCCAGAGGAGTGTGGAGAGTAAGAAGATTCACCAGAGAGAGTGGGGAGCAGAACAGTTAGATCTACTAAAAGACACTGCTGAGGGCAGCAGCGAGTGAGTCAGGAGAGGTCTGCTGCGCCATGTGGGTTGCTCCCTGGTGGGGTGGAGATCGAACTCATGCTGCAGTGGCTGGTAATAGCTTGATAGCACTGTCTTTAACCCCTGCGCCACCAGGGAGGCCCAAACGTATAAATTATTAATGAGTTTTTACAAAATGTAATCTAATATTAGTAAAGAACACTAAAAGTAAGTGAACATCATAACACCATTGTTGCATGTTTTCGGGCCTCCCGGTGGCGCAGTGGTTGAGCGCTGGGTTGCGAAGCTGCCCGCGGCCTCTGCGGCGCCGGTTCTATCCCCGGCTGCTCCCCGGCTACCTGAGGAGGGCCCCACATGGCGCGCAGACCTCTCCTGCCTCCCGCTGCTCCCCTCAGCAGTGTACTTCGGTCCTTCTGCCTGCTCTGCTCCCCGCTCTGGCTCTGGTGAATTCTCTCACCCTCCCGCGCTTCTGACTGTACCCAGTGCATGTATAAACAAAACAAACAAACAAACAAATAAATAAATAAAACATGCCTCTATTAAAAAAAAAAAATAGTTGCATGTTTTCTTAGTTTACTCATTTAATTTGTTCATGTGAATATGGATATTCAGAAATATTTTATAAGATTGACCCAGTTTAGAAATGGACCATTAAAATGTCAGGAAATATTCATGACTCCCTTCTCTCTTCTGCCTTCCAGGCACCATTCAGGAAGATTACCTGCGAGAGCTGCTGACAACCATGGGAGATCGATTTACAGACGAGGAAGTGGATGAGCTGTACAGGGAGGCACCGATTGACAAAAAGGGAAATTTCAATTACATCGAGTTCACCCGTATCCTTAAACATGGAGCAAAAGACAAGGACGACTGAAAGAACTTATGCTAAAACCTTCCAGTTACTGTGTCTTAACTGTTTTATCTCCCTCTATCTCCCAGACACTTTCCCCTGCCCTCATAGACCTGTTGCATGCAGCTTAGTTTCACAGCTTTGCCTCTTCTTTTTGATGTATTTATTCTAGATCTTTCTGCTACTTAGCACTTGTATAATCAGACTGCAAATGGGGATGAGGTTGTAAATTGTATTGAAAAAGAGATTTTGAATAAAAATCAACAAATGTGAAAGCCTAGGAAAATATATTTTGGTATTTCTGGTTTTGCTGGATTTTTACACTTTTATATAATAAAAATGCTATTTTTAAATAAAGATTATGCTGGCTCAAATGGAATATAATAGAAAGTTAAACAAGTGGTAGTTGGGGGTAGTTCTTTTTTCAGATTTTCAACTTAATACAATTTAGATTTCAGGGTAGAACTAATTTTTCATATATGGAACAGTGTTCTTCAGAACATTGAAGTACAAGTTAACATAATTATGCAGTAAAAACTAATTATGCCTTAGTTGTTTTTCCTAGTAAGTCAAATTTTTTAACTATTGAATGATAATGGAATGTAGCTGAGAAAACATTCAATGTTTTCTCTAAGATTCTAAGATGAGACAGAATTTTGAAGAAGAATTATTGAACATTTACTGTGTATAAAACATTGCAATATGATTTCATTAATCTTCCTTACAACCTTGTGAGGTAGATTATCATTAGCCTAGTATTTTAAGGGGATTGGGGAACATGGACTCTGCTCCATGAAGTTGAGTAATTAATCAGTACCTATTAGTGAGAATTTTGGCACTGGAACCATTATGCTGTCCTTATGAAAGACCCCAAATGCCTAAAAGATCAAGATTTTCCCTGACATTCTAACATTTCTGTAGTCATTGAAATTGAAGATAATTTGGGGAAATTACTTGAGCAGAATTTTGGAAAATTCTGGGTAAAAATGTAGAAAATACAAGATTGTAAGAAAAATAATCTTTTGAAGGCAGTTAATGTGGTATAAGCTGTAGGAAAGGACTGGACAACAGACAAGGCTGCTATGAGCTCATTTAAAATCCTCAGGCCAACCAATATGAAAAGTAGAAGAGAAAAATCTAAAGAAGAAAAAAATTCACTAAAAATTTACCCTATGCTCAATACCCATTCCTGCTCTTAATGTTGTATTGGTATTTTATCTGCTTAAAATCAGTGTATTTATATTTAATATCTGTGCTTTAAAACAGCGTAAAAAAGAAATCCTGTTACTTGCTATCACTTACATTTTCTAGGCTACATTTTTATCATCTTTAAAATGAGAGCACTGATCCACTCTTGTGGTCTATTGCAATCCTTTGAAGTTTATGAGAGCTTTAACACTTGTTATCCAATCCTTGCTGCCCAAAAGGCAGGTAAGGCAGGTGTTATTCCACTTGAAAAATGAGAGCCGAAATTTAGAAAAGCCAAAACACCTGACCAAGATCCCACAAATACAAGAATCTTCATCTGGTTCTCTTTTCCACTTAAAAGTCACCATGCGGTGTCAAAACCAGGTGAAAAAACAGTATGTTCAGGGATGGAAAAATAGAGTGGGATAATCTTGGTCATCATTAAATCATATTTATCAGTCACTGCTAGTGTTGGGGATGACTAGGGGGCAGGACAGACATAGATGCTGTCCTCTTGGGATCAGAGAGGATTAATAAGCCATCTCAAGTATTAGGCAACGATGAACTGAGCAAGTATAGCAGAAGGCTTCTGAGATGTGACATTAAGCTGAGATCTGAATGACAAGGAGGTTCCCATGTGACAGGCAGGCCATGGCAAGAGCACCCAATGGGAAGGACAAGAGGATGGTAGTTGCTGAGCACTTAAGTGCAGATTTAAGGCTTTGGGCAGGGAAGAAATGAGCTGCTTTTAAAAACTCAACCTTGATGTGTATAAGACAGAGGGCAAGTGTAGAGGCAAGAAGGCTTCCAGTTAGGTTATTTCTTTGTCCAGGTGAAATACAGGGGCAAGTTGGATTTGGGAAATTGTCGCGGTCATAAAATCTCACCTAAGCTCCAACCCTGCCTTTGTTACCATCGCTCTGGCATTATTTTAACAGTTAAAATAATCTGCTCTTAAACCCAGATTTGAAAGACTGGAGGGGGTGGAGCATTTAGATTTTCAAGATTAAAACAACAAAAAACCTCAGTTTCTTTAATGTTTTTTGCTAACCTGACATATCCCAGTAACATACCTGTGTTACCTATATTATCAATAAAGAGCATTGTAGAATTCAGTGCTATAAGGCATGTAGGTTAGGAACTTGTTCCTCTCTGGTGTCCAATAAATATAACAATGTAAACTCGCGACTATTTAATATCTTTCTCTTTTTCAGAACCACATAGTAATGGTCTATGTTGACAATTGATCCTTTGGCCATAGCAGTGGGAGTGTGTGTGTGTGTGTGTGTGTGTGTGTAATCACATCATTTAAAACTGTAGTGAGCATTTACTATGTGCTGAACATGTTCCATTACCACCTTTGGAGGTAGGTATTTTTATTACCCCTTTTCAAAGATGAAATTCCAAGGAGTAAGGAAGTAACTCCCAAGGTTATACAAGTAAGCAATGGGACTATAATTTGAGTCAAGCCCCAGAAACTGTCCTCCCAGGAAAATAATTTTTGCAAATAACACCACTAATTTCATGGACCATCATAGAGCAGTTTAAAAAGAATTATTACATTTCATCCTCAAAATTCTAGGAGATCGCAGGTGAGAATGCCAAGTTTCTGCAATTATCTGCCTAGCTCAACTTTCTATAACTAGTAGTATCGGCACTAGAACAAGCTTCTGAGTTTTTAAAGTGAGATAGGGTGATTCTTATTATATATCTAGAATTTCCTAATTAATACCTGTAGCCTAGTCAAAATTTTTTCTAATTTATAAATTTATGTAGTAATAGCTTCAGCAGCTTGTACTAAAATTGGAATGATACAGAGATTAGCATGACTCCTGTGTGAGGAAGTCATGCAAATTCATGAATCAGCCCATATTTAAAAGAAAATTATATACGATATATAGCATAAGAAATCCATTAATGTTTACAAAAATAAATTATATTTAATTACACATTTAATGAATGATTTCGCTTGATGAAATAATTGTACTAATAAATTCAGTAATATGTGAATAATGAATTTGAATAATGAATTTGAATCATTTGAATAATGAATTTCCTTGATTATAAATTTTTTTACATTTTCATGTTTTTGAAAGCAGAATATTATCAATGTCTATATTTAATATTATTTATTCTAAAAGGTAATTATATTAATGTTGCCTCAAAATTGATAAGTATTAAACGATATGAGACAATCTCTGAAATGCAACAAACTACTGAAACATCTAGTGTGAATAGACTTCATGAATATGTCATCTGGAAAATCTGAATGAATATATGAAAGTTTATAATATACTGACATTTTGAAAAAAGGTTTCTCAGACAGAAAAATACTGAGGCTCACATATTCCACACATCACATTGCACTTGGAAATCTCTTAGGTGAATTTCTTTCATTACAGAACACTTGTTAAATAATTTTAGAGACAAAAAATAGAAGCGCCACTAGATGGCACTATTATTCTTAGCACTGTCATAACTTATTTCATAATGAACTTGAAGGTGATAAAAGCAGCCTGAGAGCTTTGGTCCCAACAAGGCTTTTACTTTGTCAAGGTTGTTTCTTAAAGAGAGAAATGATGACAAAGTCGAGAAAAGTGAAATTCGTACTATTTCATGAATCCCTAAATATAAGGAGTAATCTGTAAGACTTTTTCACAATGTGGTCAATGAATCAATCATTCTTTCACTTACAAATATATATTGAGTATCTGGAAAGTCCCAGAATATTTGTTGTTTTAGGATTTATTTATTTTTATGCATACAAGAACTGGGGTACAGGCCAGAATTGTAGGGGGTGAGAGGATTCAGCAGAGACAGTAGGGAACAGAACAGGCAGATTGAGTGAAATACACTGCTGAGGGAAGCAGTGGGTGAGTCAGGAGAGGTCTGCTGCGCCATGTGGGTAACTCCCTGGCCAGGGATCGAACTCATGCTGCAGTGGCTGCATATAGCTTCATAGTTTGTGTCTTAACCCCCTGCACCACCAGGGAGTCCCCCAGAATCTTTTTGGTGAAAGTAAAATCCTGGGCCTTCCCCTTCTAGGGCCTGACTCCTTCACTTACAGACCAGAACATCTCATTCAAGTCATTACTATTATTATCACTTCTATTTTATTTTTTTTTTTAATTTTTATTTATTTATACAAGCACTGGGTACAGTCAGAAGCGTGGGAGGGTGAGAGAATTCACCAGAGCCAGAGCGGGGAGCAGAGCAGGCAGAAGGACCGAAGTACACTGCTGAGGGGAGCAGCGGGTGGCAGGAGTGGTCTGTGTTCCATGTGGGACCCTCCTCCGGTGGCCGGGGAGCAGCCGGGGATTGAACCAGCGCTGCAGCAGCTGCGGGCAGCTTCGCAACCCAGCGCTCAACCGCTGCGCCACCGGGGAGGCCCTATTTTATTTTTTTTAAGATTGATTTATTTATAGATTTAAGAACTGGGGTATAGGCCATAGTTGCGGGGGGGGGGGGTGAGTGGATTCACCAGAGACAGAGTGGGGAGCAGAACAGGCAGAATGACTGAAATACACTGTTGAGGGGAGCAGCCAGGTGAGTCAGGAGAGGTCTGCGGTTCATATGTGGGTCAGTTCCCTGGCATCAAGCTTGTACTGCAGTGGCTGCTGATAGCTTCATAGTGCTGAGATTCAACCTCTTGTGCCACCAGAGAGGCCCATTTTATGCTTATTTTAGAGAAGTTTACAAAATTAAGTGTGTTATTTATGTCCGGAATCTTCCAGATAGCAAGATGAATGTCCACTTACTGAAAGGCATCTTGAGAGAGAAATTTCCACTTCTCAAAATAGAAGACTAAGACCCCAAAGTCTCCCAAATCTCCCTTTGAGTTATCACAGCTTGTGTGGCAGGAAAAAACCTCCTCATCTAGGCTCCTTCTGAGCATTATGGCTTCAGCCTTCACCATAGTTTGTCAGGCAGCAGAATCTACCCAACTCCAGAATTTCTCTCTTTGTCTTTAAATTGCCCTTGAGTTCAGCTCCAATCTCTCCCTTTCCCCGTTGCAGTGTTTTCATACCTTAGGGGCCCAAACCTTGAATATAAATACAAAAAGACAAGAATCTGTAACCTGAGAAGCAAACGGAACAATGCTTACATTCATGGGAATAAATAGAGCAATCTCAGGAAACAAGGTAATGGCAAATTTTAGTCAGTGATTCTAAGAAAATTTCCCAAGCAAAAG